GTGTTTCAGTAGTTTTACTTGTTACCTAAAAAACTGTAGATGTGTATTTGTCCTTATTTACTCCGTCAGAATAACACTGGCTGTCTGAAAATAAGGAAACATTGAGAATTATATTTGGTGAATGTCAGAACTAGTAACTAACGTCATTACACTTGTTAGAGGCTCGGACTGATCGTATCAACACAGTCTTAAAGTAGACTGAGAGAAATGTAATGCAACATTCACCACAGACCTCAAATACTGTAACTCGTCCTATTTACAAGGTGGAAACATATCTTATCACCTCCAAGCTTCTGATGTCATACAGAGAATTACTATTCCACACATCTTAAACTGTAATTTCAGAATTTAATTGAAATAAAAGACCACAGGCTTGACTGTCTTTATCCTACATTTACAGATATTTAAAGTTCTGGATAATAGAAGCTTTCGAAAAAGGTGTTTTAGTCAAATCAATCAACGGAGCCCCTCCCTCGGTTTCTTTGTGGTAGAATTAGTTCTGTGCCTAAACTGAACGATCAGTCATTTCCGGGTGATTGGAGGCGTCACGTTCGTCTAGAAATAAAATTACAGGTGCCAAAAAGGCTCCACAGGATTGAACATACAGAGCCACACCCACATTAAGTGCATCATGACTAATGACAAACTTGAAGCACATTGTTTTTCCCCACAGGTTTCTCAGGACCTGCCCTTCCTCCATCCCAGTGAGACCGCTGTCCTCAACCGGCTCTGTAAACTGGGCACCGACTGTATTCGACTTAAAGAGTTCATAGAACAACACACTGACCATGTTCATCTACAAGTGAGTCCCCGTCATTCATGACAACATTAGTTCTGCACATTTCGGTTGTGAACTCTAAGATGAATTAAAGATTGGTGTCTGTACTAGTTTAGGCTAAATCTGAAATACAGTTCCTGACCCTTCTCTCTTAATAAACATTTGTTCATTGGATTATTTTTCACACATTGCATCTAAGAAAAACCCTTCAGATGATTTTGAAGCTTCTGATGTTTAGATCAACGAATAAAAAGTTCAGATCACGTGTCCGTTTCTTCTGTAGGAGCATCACACAAACCAGCCGAGCCAGACTGGACTTCACGGGAGTTACTTGTGGGCTTTCTGCGCCGGACTGGACTCGATGCTGCGGCCGTACAGACAGACGCTGCTGGACCTTGAACAAGAGGTAAAATGATGACAACGTGGTGAATGACTACTAGAGCATGTGAGAGGATGCTCATTCAACTTGAGTGTGTGTTTCAGTTCCTTGGAGATCCACATCTCACAATATCCCACGTGAATTATAAGCTTCATCAGGTAAAGCATCAGTTAAAACACTGACATTTTCAGTCTCAGCTCAGTCTTTCTGTTTTTGTTAACAACTTTTCTCTCCAAGTTCCAGCTGCTGTTTCCCTCTGTGGTGGTGGTGGTAGAGACGATCCGATCTCAGAAGGTAAGGAAATGTAAACTACTGCTCAAACACATGAAGTTCACACAATCACAGGTTACTGCAGAAATTCATCCTGAACCTTCTCCCACGACCGGATGAAGAGTTGTTTTCTGTGGATCCAGTGAAGACGCGACTCGAAAAACAGATTTACTCATTTCACCGTAATAATATTATGATAATACAGTCACAGCTGTGTGAAACAACTAATGTGTGTGTGTGTGCGTTGATTTAGATCCATGGCTGTCAGATCCTGGAGACGGTGTACAAGCACAGCTGTGGGGGACTTCCTCCTGTTCGCATGGCCTTAGAAAAGTGGGTCAGCTCCAGAGCTGTGATGTTTTACTGATACAGAATCAAATGATTCCATATTATGAGATGTTTGTTCATCTATATCACTGTGACTCCTCCCTCCCTGCACATGAGGTGATGGGACAACCTGAAACTCACCACTCAGGGCTCTGTTGACAAATGAAACCAAAGTATGTGAATAATTCCTGGAAAACTGTAGTAATGTTTCTACTACAAGAAATAAAACTTCCTACCTGTAGTTACAGTAACTGAAGCTCGTAGTTAAACTTCAGCTGCACTGTAATCACACAATGGTACCAAAACATTTTGGGTTCTTTGTGTTATGTTTGAAACATGGTGCAGGATTCTTGCTGTGTGCCACGGTGTGATGTACAAGCAGCTCGCAGCCTGGATGTTACACGGATTTCTACTGGACCAAAGTGAGGAGTTCTTCGTGAAGCGGGGGCCCAGCGCTGGAGGAGCTGCTGCCAACCAGGAGGAGGAGGAGGAAGACCTGGGACTGGGAGGCTTGAGCGGGAAACAGCTGAGGGAACTACAGGACCTGGTGAGAGCTGCGGTCGAGCACATCAGACACAGGACGAGAGCCCCGGGCACGTATCTAACCAGAGTGTTGGTCCTCCTGTTGTGCAGAGGCTGATAGAGGAGGAGAACATGCTGGCTCCATCTCTGCAGCAGTTCTCTCTGAGAACAGAGATGCTGCCGTCATACATTCCGATCAGAGTCGCTGAGAAGATCCTCTTTGTGGGAGAATCCGTCCAGATGTTTGAAAACCACAACCACAGCCCTTCTAGAGCTGGTAGCTTCTCGCTGAAAATCTACGTGTCATAGTTTGATGGTGTGACTCAAACGATAGAAACGTTGCTTGTTTGTTTCAGGCTCCATACTGAAGCGCCAGGAGGACATGTTTGCTGCTGAGCTGCACAAACTCAAACAGCAGCCTCTGTTCAGCCTGGTGGATTTTGAGAATCTGATTGATCGCATCAGGAGCACGGTGGCCGAGGTGAGCTCATGTGGCGCTGCGCTCTTTTCCTCTAAAATCAAAATGCCACGAAAGTGACAAAATGAAAACCTCACAATCTGACCGACTTGCAGCACCTGTGGACTCTGATGGTGGAGGAGTCGGGTCTGCTCGAACAGCTCAAGGTTTGTTTTCATCTCTCACTTCTGGATCATGAATCACATCATCAGTGCTGACGTTTGTTTTCTTCCAGATCATTAAAGATTTCTACTTGCTGGGTCGTGGGGAGCTCTACCAGGTTTTTATCGACCTCGCGCAGCACATGCTGAAGACGCCTCCAACAGCCGTCACTGAGCACGGTGAATATTCATCCTCCTGACTTCACTTACTTCACTTGTTTGTACATTTAGTGTCAAAATATCCAATTAATTCCTGCTCACATCTCGGCTCTGACAAAAAAGAGGCAATAAACAACAATAAACCCTGAACTACAGTTGAGGAAACATCTTCAGCTACAAACACACACAAGTGAACAGAGCAACACGGAGGACGGACGCTCTTTGTGACTTTCTTAAAATCAGCTTCTCGTCAGTGATGTTAGTAAATGAGCTAAATGTAAGTTTGGTGTATTAGAAAGGGATATTTCCCCTGTCCTCTGTGCTACCTGCAGCTTCAAGGAGGCTTTTTCTTGTTCTATGTAAAAATGTATAGATTTTTGTTTTCATGTGATGACAGATGTCAACGTGGCGTTTCGACAGGCGGCTCATAAGGTTCTGCTGGACGACGACAACCTTCTGCCTCTGCTGCACCTCACTGTGGACTATCAGGGTAAAGACAGCAAAGGTCAGACTCAACAGCTCCGTGAGGAGGAAACACACGATGACGTGTCCACACAAATATTAAACAGGAAGCCGTTTTATATGAGTTTCCATTTTGTTTGGTGTTTAGCGCCATCCAGTGGCTTGATCATCTGTGACTGAAGAGAAAAAACAAGTTGTTGATCAGATCAAATATGATTATCAGTTAGACCTAAATCCAACCGGCCCCTGAATTGAAAATCATAATTATGTCATATGTTCATATTTAATAATGATGATTAACGACGATATATTTCATGTGGAGGATTTGTACACACACATTATTCTTTTTATTCATTCACTGTTGTAAGAGCTTCTCTGTCAAAATGGTTTTGATGTTTTATATTTTTATTAACAGACGGGTCAGGCCCCAGAGACGGAGCCACTCCCCCACAGGACACCTCCCCTCGCGAGGTTCCTCCCTCAGGCTGGGCGGCTCTCGGCCTCATCTACAAGGTCCAGTGGCCGCTGCACATCCTCTTCACGCCGGCTGTGTTGGAGAAGTATGACCATGTTCTCATGGTTTTCATTTTCTCGTGTGTTCGAGTGCAGCTGACGAGCCACTTGTTCTTCTTGTGTGTGCTCAGGTACAACGTCGTGTTCAGGTACCTGCTGAGCGTGCGGCGGGTGCAGCTGCAGCTGCAGCACTGCTGGGCTCTGCAGATGCAGAGGAAGCACCTCAAGTCCAGTCAGACCGATTCTGTCAGATGGAGGCTACGCAACCACATGGCCTTCTTGATTGACAACCTGCAGCACTACT